GCTGCACCTTCACAGCTTTCCCAGATCCCTTTCCTCAGAGCCCTGACTCCTGTGCACATCTACTCCACACCTGTTCTGTGTGGTTGGTGCCCTCAGAGCACTCACTACAGAGTGTCACCTACAGAGCACTAACCGAACATCACCCACAGAGCACTTCCTGCACAACAGTGTTCCCACTGCCTCCTGTCTCACACTTGGGAGCTGGAAGGCAGCAGACAGAGGAAGACATGAGTGACAGTCAGAGCACTAGGCTTACAAGGCAGCTGTCACATCACAAACGAACTGTGGCGTTTCTGTGTTTCTTTTCTTTGTCATCTGAGAATACAGACCTTAGGTTTGTCACAGAACACTTCTCAAATCCTGTTGGAAGGTGTTTACTTTTCTGGAAATGTCTCATCTGTCTATGCCGTTCAGCTCCCTCAATCAAGTACTTAAACTTCAGTGATGTCTGAGAGCCCAGGCCTGTGACTTTATCAAGTATGTCCCTCTCTGCATGTCCCCTCCACAGCTCTTGGAGCTTATGTGTGAAATTTGCAGTAGAATGGACCAGAGTCCTACTGCAGGATCAGTGTGGCCAATGCCTCTTTGTGTGACTCCAGGTAATCAGTTCCCTTTTTAATTTGTTTCATCTATGCCAAGGCTTCCCTTCCTTGGCTCCTGCGTGGCATCTGAACACTGGGCACAGTTGAGCTTCTGCAGTGATTACTCCAAGTTTACATGGTGCCTGTCCCAGAGCTGGGCTGAAAGCAAGACAATATGAAAATCAGAGATGTAGAGGCAGCTTTCCTTGTTGTTATGGGTATATAGAAAGGCATATATAGATTTTTGTTAGTTGATTTTTTATTCTGTCACTGTGTTGAAATTGATGACAATTTCTAGAAGCTTCCTGATGGAACTTAGGGATCTGTTATGTACAAATGTAATAAATGATATAAATGGACTTCAAGAGAAAATTCACATGCTCATCCCAATATGTTTTGAAAAGGCCTTTGACAAAATTCAACGTACCTTC